CTTGTTCTTAACATGGCCCACGGCCCTTGAGCTCAGTCATACATTATTTTGTTATTTATACTATTTATTTTTGATATTTTATCCATTAAAATGCAAAATTAAATAAAGTAAATAATAGAAATAATGGAAGATTTGATTGAGAATCTTTTTCTATTAAAATGATGGAAAAAACATGCTAGAAAATCAAAGAAGAATCGTGGAGAGAAGGAAGATTGAATTTGTTCCAAAATAAGCCAAAAATCAAATATTTGGAAAGAAGATATTACTTATCAAGGCATGGATATTTTGCTACAAATATAAACCTAATGAGATTCACTACATATAGAGAACAACCCTAGATCAAGACAACATGTGAAAGCTTCCTCCAAACCAAGAACTAAGTTGCAAAAATATTCAAGTGTGGTGCCATTCAAAATCTCACGTTCTATCCAATCTCAATTAGATCCAAGCGTGCCATCATCCTTTTGAGGATCCTAGGGGTAGAACCAACCCCTTTTTGAAGGCCAAAGAATCCAGAACCACCCCTACGATAACTCACGGTTTGCAAAACTTTCAAACTTCAAACTTTCGATTCATGACATATAAATAATATATCTGCACATATTTGAGTTTAACATCATATTTGCGCATGTTTTGAACCATTACATGCAAGCTTTGATGCTAGAAACAAGAAGTGTCATTGTTAGGGCACGAGTTTTCTGTTTCTTCGCATCTGTGTTTACAGGCCGTTTCAACCAAAAAGAATACCACCATCTTGATCGCAACCTATGATTTAGGGGGGGGGGGGGGGTAGGCAAAATTCCAGGCTTCAAATCTCCCTATTTTGCATATTAGGTTTTTGGCTGGTCAGAGAAGATGACCGGAACCACCATCCAGGGTCGTTTGACCAGCCAAGGACCTTGAGTGGCGTGTTAGGATGTTCTGATTGGACCATTTGAAATACAGGGACCCCACTTGCTGGCGCGTGTTTGACAACTCAGCAATTATCCTCGTTTTATATTATATATTTTTGTTTTGATTATATATATGAATGATCCAGCAGCGCAGATGGCAAAGGCATAAGAGTGCAAAGGGAAAGACCTGGGTTCGATTCCCAGGTCTTGAATGTTATTTTTCGAATGAATTTTCTCCAGATCCAGTGCAGCCAGGCCATTCACGCTTACCATGTGTTCCCAGGTCATCACCATCAGATCAATCATCCTCCAGATCTAACGCGCAACATGTAGTCCCCATGATGGACCTCCCTACCACAATAACATTGAATTCAGCGCACCTTTGGGTTTACATAAGATCTGGGCTTTGGGAATTCCAACCTGCACCCCCCAGATTACTTTCTCACCCCTCTCAGGCCCATTTCTTATTTTTTTTTTCATTCTTTTTATTTAGTTTATATTTTTATTTTTATTTTTTTTTAAATCATAAAAATCAGAAATCACAAAAGTTAAGACTTACAGTTTTTCTTAAAAAAATAATTTTTAGCAAATTAATTAATTTAATTAACTTTAATGTATTTTTCTTTAATGTAAAATTAATTAGAGAATTAGGTTAAATTCCAAATTTATTTTCATAAAATACCAAAAACATTTTTTTTAATAAATAATTAGACTTCTAGGGTTTCAAACATAGTCCAGTCTTAATTTCCATGCGTTATTATTTTTCCATACGATTATTTTTTATCATTTATGTAACTACGTCCGATTTGTAATAGTTAATTAGGGTTTTCAATTTTCGCATTTTACTTTTCGTCCATTATTTATGTATCTACACCAAAGCCCTGTAATAGCATAGGAACTTTTATTTCTCGCTTTTATATTCCTTATATGCTTGTATATGAGCTGTTAGTAATTAGGCGTGCATGACAAGATTAAATCAATTAATCAGTAAGTCATTAACTTCAATATAAATACTTGAAAAAAGCACATTGTTGCACACTTGCACCCCTAGGGTATTCCCTCATTTTGTTTGCCTCGGAAAACAATGGTCATGTCCCTCGAACGTAGGGATATCTTAGCAAAGACCCTCAATTCTAAAGTCATCATAAAGATCATAGTCCCTAATGTCCCTCGAGTTGCCTACGATAAATGATATTGTCCCTCGGTGTTGCCTATATGATGACAGTCCCTTCGAAATGCTAAGGTATCCTTATATGTTTCCTTCAATGACCATAAGCGTCCCTTTCGATAGTCCCTCAATATTCGACGATAGGGCTACCTACTCACTAATAGTAGGATATCACTATCTAAAGGAAAGGAGAAAAAGAACGTCTTTTTCGAGTAGGTAGACAGTTCTTAAGTACTTGCTCAAACCTGAAATTTTTTACACTTACACATTTTCAAACTTCTTTTCAAAAATGCTTTATCACACTCTTAAGGACTGATACAAGAGTTATCATAAAGCAAACAAAAATCTTTCAAAATACACAAACACGAAAACAATTTTCAAAATGAGCAAATACCTAAGAGCCCGTGGAAAACCACAGATGAAAAGGGTGCTAACACCTTCCCTTTCCATAATCTACCCCCCTTACTCAGAAAAATCTCGAAAAAGATCTTTTTTGGTTCTTTTCACCCTTTCCTTTGTTGGACAAAAGAAAAGTCGGTGGCGACTCTTGCTTACCGTGACATTTGCGAACAAAAAACGTAAATCAGTATAAACAGTCGGTTCTGCCACCGTATCACAAGAAGTTTCTGTAGATTTTTAGAAGTTGATTTGCTGCATTTTTTAAGCCTAATCCAGACCAAAAGATTGCTTTAAATAGATTGTCACAAACCTAGTTTTAGTGTGGAACTTACGTGTGTTTTTATTAGGGTTTGTGTGTGTTAATTGTGAGCCTCTCTAATATCATCTTGATATAAGAGTAGGATTGTTCTTTTGAGTTGTAATTATGAATCATTAAAGCTTTTAAGTAGTTGTTGATTTTGTTTATGTAAGTTTTGTCAATCATTCTTAAGTTTCTAAGTATTGAACCATTGTGTGTCTTTGAAGCGTGTCTTCTAAAAGTATTCTAAATTGTTTAAAATTGTTCTTATCACTGTTTGTGACTGAAAGGGAAGTTAGAGGGGTCTCATATCTAGGCGTGTCTTAGGTAGAAGTATAGCACGAGTAGTGATTAAGTGAGAAGTTGTAAACGGTGGAATTTAGTTTCGAATTGATACTTTTGGTGAATTTTCTTTCTGGCTTGATAGCCCCCAGAGTAGGTGTTGTTGTACACCAAACTGGGTTAACAATTATGTGTGTTCCTTTATGTTTCTGTACTATTTTATTGTTTGAAAGTGTTCATTGTGTTGTTGTTCAGAGATCAGTGTCTCGACATCTCTTAGGACATCTGAGATCTGATTACCAAAATTTCATTTATATTCATCCTTTTCACTTGATTATGATGTGAAGGAAGAGAGTGAAATGACACAAGTTGAAAGATGCATATGTCACTTAAATGACACAAGTTTGTGATTGAGTCTCACATCGTGTTTTCATAAACAATTTTAGTGTTTATAAAAGACAACAATGGATAACCCAATGTCTTCATGTGCACAAACTTGAGCTTAAGCCCAGAAATTCTTTTAAAAAGTTTATTTAATTAATTTTTAAAAGTATTAATTAAAATAATTAATAATTAAATTATTTTATAAAAAATATTAATTAATAAATTATCGTAGTCATCAATATTATATTATTAAAATTATTTTTTGTCTCAATTATAAATTATAAATGTCACGTCTACAAAACTAAAAGGAAAATAAAAATCAAATGATCAAAAAACTGAGTTATGTAATAGGGAGACCAAAAAATAAAATCACCTTAAATAGGAGGACCATAAATACATTTAAAATCAAATTATTATGATAAACTCTTTAAAACAACTTGTAAATAAACCTTTAAAATAATTAATTAAATCACTAAAAACAGCCTCAATAGTTGCATATAGGGTTGTTTTCGATCCGGTCCGGTTCGGAGATAAGTCCTCTCGAGAAGTGGATCGAAACTGTAATCAGGTAATTCAGACCGGACCGAAACAGTGATGAATAATTTTTTAGAATCGAAATCGGACCATGTAGCATTTCGGTTGTTCCATTAGTCCGGTTCCACTTGACCGGTTCTCAGATAATCTGTTAGACAACTTGCTCACAATGAAAAGTTTATTGGATACTCAAAATAACAATATATACTAAGCACGGCCGAGTACTTATCAGATACATTTCCGAACCAAGTAACATTTTGATCGGTCCATTTGGGATAAATATGTTTACATGTGTATTTAGAAGTATGTGTTTACTAAACATGAACGTGCTTATAAAATGCATAAAAATCTAAAAAATTGAGTATGAATAAAGAAGATTAAAAAGCATAAAAAACTAAAAGATTGAGTATGAAAAAAGAAGATTAAAAAGCATAAAAATCTAAAAGATTGAGCATCTCAAGCATGTTCTAAGGCACTCATGATTCATATTTCGGCAGTGCACATGGGACATAAGGGACAGAGACTAATTATTATATCCAACAGCACGAGGAAAAATATGTCATCCACAGAAAACAAATCTCATGAGCTCATATATTTAAATTTGAATAGTTTTCTTCAATATATTTCTCAATGATTGTTTTCTTCAATATTTTTCTTCAATATTCTTGAATAGTTTTCTTCAATATTTTTCTCAATGAATAGTCTATAACTGATCTTCAAGCATCATGGTAGAATGCTTTCACATAAGAAATTAAGAAACACCTACAAGAATTTTAGCTTATAAAACAATCAGCAGATTCTCAACTTCACACTATAGGTAAGAGGAAAAAACAGTCCTTGATGTACATAACCATAACCATCCACTAAAAACCTAGAGCAATAGAAATCACTTTTCAGAATCTGTAACTGATCAGTTCTATTTACAAATTTGATGAACCCTGCGGCAATCTTTACCATTTTACTTGCAGTAATTTGTCGTCCAACAAACCAAATAGGCCCTTAAAACTACAACAATTAGGCTAATTCAAAAACTTCGTCTTTGCTAAACATCCACTGTCCAGTTAATGTTATTCGTATTGCTTTCGTGTGATTTTTGGAACTGAGCAACTTTGGCATGGTATGCAGCTGCAGCAGCCGCGGCGGTCTTACTCTTCATTCTCTGACCTTGAGGAAGCTCAGAAGCTTCACTAACAGAAGCAAACCGTAGCTCTGATGGAGGAATAAAACAATCTATAGAAAGGCCAGGGACATTGAATGCAACCTCCTCAATCGTCCATGCTTCCTCCATCTTAGTCTTAGTATGGCTCATTGCCGTTTCCCCAAACCTGAAAAGTGTCACAACAGATCGACCTGAGTGTGCAATCATGATCCCTTCAACAGGCCTGTAGTCGTCAAGAAACGAATTAATTGTGGTCTCCCAATAAACTGCGTCGCCTCCATTGTTTTGAATGCGGGTCAAATGGGAATCTTCCAAGTGAACAAGAAGTCCTGTTTTCTGACTAAAGTATCCGAATAAAACATGCCTTATGATCTCTGCTGGACCTTCACTCCTCGCTTTTAATGTCGATGGATCTGCACAAAGCTTGAGGATGAAACAATCCTCTTCGTTTATCTTCTTCTCTCCAATGCATCTTGCATTGATAAACATACTAGCAGTCGTTCTTGGGTCAAGACCCTATAGATAGAAACAAAAAAGTCTAAGTTATAATTCAACAAAAGCAACATAAGTAGAGGTAGGAGTGAACGGAAGAGAAATTCACCTGAAGCGCGCGTCGAAGAGGCCTCACCGGCCCTTTCGCAGCATGTGCACCAAGCCAAGGCGTGTGGCGCCACACGAGGTTCCCATTGCAACCAGCATGAACCTTGCTGCCACCAAGAGCAAGCTCTACATACCACATATCTGGATTCATCTGCCACAAGACAAATCCACCAGACTCTGCAACTTTGGAGGAATTACGGCTACGCGTGACTTTCTTCGCAGTCTCGAACTCAGAGGCTATCATCCTCACTTTTCCCATGGCATAAGCATTGTTAATGGAGTTTTGAAGCTTCAAACCACCCGAAGCAGCAATGTACTGCTGCAGTATGTACTGAGCAGAAGAAGTTTCCTGCAACAACAATGCCAAATAATACCACCACAACATTATATTGCAATACTTCATAGAAAAAAGAGAAACCATTATAAGATCAAAGTAACCAACACAAATCCCAATATCCCTCTTTCCCTCCTCAATCCCTGGTTCTCTCACTTGCACACACCAGAACACAACATTGAGGACTTGTTTGAATCAGCTTATTTGAGTTTATTTGCTAACATAAGCGCTAGAGAGACAGTTTGAGAGAATTTCTGAAAACAACTTAAGTTCCAACATATGTCCATATCCAGTTTCCAGGTTATTTCATAAACTCTCCAGAATACTTTCTAAAAACAGCTTATAGCTTATGTAAAATAAGCTCTCCAGAATACGTTCTAAAAACAGCTTATAGCTTATGTAAAATAAGCTCTCCAGAATACTTTCTAAAAACAGCTTATAGCTTATATGTATTTTGCTGCAGAATTAGATTAGACACGGGCATTAATTAACCTGATTATCCAAACAAAGCCTAAAATTTCCAAACATTACCCAAATAGAACATGAGAGCTTAGAACTCAAGATGGATCCTCCCGAACTATCTCCAGCCAAACCTGAGCCCCTGCAGTCGGATAAATCCAACAACCGGGATTTCGGTTTGGCCGAAATAGACTAGATAATATCAAAGTATCACAAAAGCACCAACCATGTAATATACATTGTATACCAAAACATAACAGTTTTTTTGCATTAAAGCTACTTGATCAATTTTCCAGCTACCAATCAAAATGAAACAAATTAACAAACAAGCTATGATATGATTATGAACATAATTAGCCTAGTAGCAACAAGAACAACAACATAAAGTGAGAGAAAAACTAACAATGGGAATATCTTTGATACTGAGATGAGGAAAAGGATCAGTAGTGCAAACATGAACCGGAGCAAGAGGAGCACCCAGCACACCAAGAAGCAATCTCAGATCGGATTTCTTGCAAGCTAAACCCGAAGAAGACGACGAACCAGAAGACGACGAAACAGAAGGTGCTCTAGCCAACTGTCCTTTCATCCAATGCCCCCATTTTCCTTCCCCTCTGTTACCATCTTCACCGTCGGTTCCATCAGGACCTTCCTTCAACGGCGACAACGCTTCCACCGGTCTCAAACTCCCCGATCTCGTCATGAACATCTCCGGCGGCGGTGGACCTTGTTTTCGCCTTCGCCGGAGAAGTCCCGACATCGGAGAAACACTTCTGGCCGGAGTTTTGGCCGGTGAGAGTCCTCTAACTACTTCGTGTTTGAGGGATGAAAAGAAACCTTGCTTTTTGTCCATTTTTACGAGATTGCCACTGGAGAATGAAGTCCAAGATGGTTGTTATGTTGTTGTTGGTGCTGTGATTTTTGGGATATTTGGTTTGTTGGAATGAGAAGGACAAAAAAGGTAATTTGTATGATAAGCAACTATTTGTGTGTGTTGGTGTTTGGGACAGTATTGCCGCCAGATACGTTAACTGTGGACTGCACACTACTCAGCTACTACCAACGTTGCTTCTTGTTGGTATCTTATAATAATATGTTATCGCCACTACTTGTTTTCTTTATTTATGGAAAAATTAAATTACGATATTTTCTTTAGACTTTTACAAGTTACAACTTGGTTGAGAAACAAATAAAGAGAACCATACCATATACTTATAATGTGTTCTGGATGATGTTCTATGAAGAGATGTATACAAATATTCTATTGTAAAAGAATATATATTTAAATTTGTAACTTTTAAAAATGTATTTGCACACCGGGCACACTATCTAATATGTAACTCTACTTTTATAACTACACTATTAAATCTAGTTTTCACGGGCTTCACGATTATAAATGTTACATTGTTATGATCATTAACTATTTTGTCTTTCTAAATCTTAAGTGTGTAATTTCTATCTTAAATTTATTACATAATTTGAAATTGGGTTAGTATTTTCTTTTAAAGTAGTTAACTTTTTAATTGAATATTTTTGTTTGCATAGTTGTTGCAAGTATGAAATTAAGTGTATTTTATTGTCTTCAAGGAGATTGATTGTGTTTTAAAGAACGTTGATTAGTTTTTTATGATTTTAAAAACGATTTATTAGATGTTTGATTGTTTGTGAATACATAAAGTAAAATAAACTTTGGTGTTTAAAAGTTGAGAAAAGTTTTTGAGGTTAGATTACATAGACATATTCTCATATAATATAATTGATGAATAATATACAATTCTAATCAACTACTAATATTATCGTTCATCTCTCTCACCGTAGCTTATGTTTGAGTCAACGATGTGAGATTAATCGTATTACCTAATAAACGATCTCTCAATCTATTAAATAATTCAATAGCATTAAGCTTCAACAGTTCATACAGATATTGGACCTAAATCTATCTTTAGACTTTAACACACCAAATAATGCTTAGATCTAATAATGATTAGTATCTTTCGAATATCAAGTCACACCATGAAAACATGTTTTAGGTAGTTAGTCCAAAACAAGAACAAATAATTTGTCAATATAAAGTATAAGAAGAATTACATAGAGCGTCATTATCGTGATCAATATACGAGCATTAGGACGACTCTAACCTCAATAAAAGAGAAATTGGTCACGTTTATTTATCATAATTTTACAATTAAGTCCTAAAAAAAGAGTTGAAAAACATGTTGAATCTTAGGAGAGCGCTTCTGCCCTCAATCTTCCTCCCTTTACCTCTCTTGTTGTGTTTCTGGTACACAATGGACTTCTCTCACTCCCTACCAAAAAAACTTCTTAATTACACCAAGTTATCTCAAACTGAACTGCCCGAGCCCTTATTTATAGGTTCATGTCTTTCTATTCTTGCTATGCGAGGTTCGGAGTTCACTTAGCGTGTATACTTTCTTCACCATTAACTTATGTCTTCTCATCCTGCAAGTAGTCTTTGTCGTCTTTCCTTGCTTAGCATGCCTTCATGCCCTCTTAGCGAGCAAACTCTTTATTTTCCATAAAGTAACTTAGCATTTAAGTCTATGAATCTTCATACCTCGCTTAGAGCACTGATACTGGGCTAAGCGAGTTTTGTTGCTTAAATTTGAAGTTACTTAATCCTAAAGAAATATTTTTCTGCCTTAGCTCGCTTACTAAGTCAATTTTTTTTGCTAAGCGATCATTGGTACTTGAATGGTACATTTTTATCTATTTTTGGTACTTTCTTTGTCTTTTTTACCCGTACTCAGTAAATACAATGTTAAAAAGTTCATACAAATGTTTTATCATGTTTTCTTAAGAAATTAAGGGTTTTTTTATTGATTGCTTGTAAAATAAGTCAATAAGTGTTTATATATTTTACGTATTTTTGACACTTATCACAACATATTATGGCGAGCTAATCAATCTAATATGGGGTTTGCTTCACCTCACCTATGTAAGTTTAACTAGTCTTTAGTGATTTGGCGTGCTCTAGAACAAATGAGTCGGAGTTTGTTGATGCTAAGTGGACTTAGGTCATTATAAATATATTTTTTGTCGTTTTTTGAAATATGAGCAATTGGTCTTTGGGGTGTATATTTATAATTATAAATTATGTCATTTTCAATCAGGATTCTCTTTTATTAACTAAAATATGCATTGGGCTCATTAATTCTATAGAACTTGTTATGAACCGCCCGCAAGACATACGAAGAAGGCTCAATAACAAGTGTTAAAGAAGAAGTCGCATAGAATAGGTGGACCTTCATCCCTTCTGGGGACACACAAGTACACCCTCTTTCACATCTCTCACTATGGGATCCAACCAAACAACAACCTGCACTAGGCGTTGAATCATACGCTGGCGATTTAACCGCCCATGCTATATGAAGACTAGATCGTGTCATTTCAGGTATTTAATTCATTCTCACTCAATCGTTCTTTTAGGTCTTGTAGTGTTAACCTTGCAAGCTCAACTCATCTCCAATGCATCAAAAATCAGATCTACTACATCAAAAGTTTGATCCAAAATCTATGATCTCCCTTCTAATATTAAATATCTTCACTTATGTCTGAATCTGTGAATGAAATAAAATTCATATAAGTCGAATTAGTCTCTTAGTTGAATGTTCCATGTTCTCGCCACTCAATATATATTGTGACGAGTTAATTAGTCTAACTTGAAGTTGGTTTCACCTCATTTATACCAATTTAACTACTCTCTAATAATTCAGCATGATCTAGAACAAATGGATCAGAGTCAACAAAAAAAATGATGTTTATGTATAATATGAGCAATTGATCTTGTGGTGTATATTTGCAATTATAAATTATATTATTTTTAACCGGAGTTCTCTTTTATTTATTAAATTATACATTGATTTTATTAACTTTAAAGCAATGATATTTGAACATCTGTATTTTAACACTGTATCAACACTATATATAATTTTCATACAAATTTAGTTTTACACATAAATCAAAGCATCATGTATATTAATAAAAAAAATTAAAAGTGTAGTCTATAATATAATTCTACGGTGTAGTGTTTAATTTGTTGTCCGTAAATCATTATTGTTAATTTTATATAAAACTCATGTAAGTTAATGGATTTAGTATAGTTCAAATATATTGATCATTAAATAAATATTAAAATAAATTCTTTAGAAATTTTTTTTAAATAAATTTTAAAATAAATTCTGTAAAAAAAATTTAAATAATTTAAAAAATAAATAATAAAGAGAGAATTTATATCTTAACTGGAGAATGATCTTCAACAAATTTCAAGATTTAGTTTAGATTTCAGTAATGATAATGTTACTGCAAACCTCCCAAATTTTATATGATAAAGTTTATTTCCATTCCGTTTACACATTTCTTCGTTACTATCTCCACTCTCTAGAATCTAGATCCATTCACAAACATTTAGCTAAACTTTACTGATAGTTATTGTTTGCATAGTTGAACATGCTTGCACAAGCAAGTGTTACTTTTCAAACATTCACTAACAAACAACAGGTCTACTGTGACGAAAAGTGCCGTTAGCTATAGTCAAAACAAATGTTTTTATAATAGCAAATAGAGTAAAAAGGATCATCATTTGGAAAATACTTTAATCGGTGCAAATTCATGATGAGAGACATCTTCAAAACATTACCTACCACGGCATGCGCTTCAAAATTATACTTCTAAAATTTATTATTCTTATCCAGTAATAATTGTTCTAGGAAACATCTTTGTAAATTTAGTTCTACAAATTAATATTGCATGGAGTGTTTTTTTTGTGTATATTTATGTCTTATGCTTAGCTTTTTTTATAGTAGCCATATGCTTTTGTGGTGTATAATATAACAGAAAGCATATATAAACACCATAATAGACACCTACACAATATATATATATATAATCATAGCTCATAATATAAACTATTTTACTATTTCATACAATGTCAATGAATCTCAACTTTTGATATTTTAAAATATTTAAATTTAGATGTTCTTGGTTATAGAGTTTTTATAGATCAATTATCAATAATATGTTTATTTTGGCTCGCCTGATTATTTAGAAAGTCATTATCGAGATTGAAGTGTTTGCTCACATAATTTTTGGTTTCGAAATTATTATTTTATAGAGAAGACGTTCGTATCTTTCGGAGAAACTTTATATAGGGTTACTCTTATGGGTAATCCTTTGTGGTTCTTGCCACCGTCGTCTTTCAGGGTGACAATTTCAAGAAGATGAACGTCTTTGTTTTATTGGCTTAGAGTTGGGAAGGAAATTGTGTCAACCTCTCCCAGCTTGAGAGTCTTGATAGGCCGAGAAGAAAGGATAGTCACCTCCTTTATGAACCTTTCCCTAACCTTAATCAAAAGACCTTTTGAGTGACTTTTAGAGTCATCTAAACAACTTTCGCCTCGTTCGACCTTCTTCTATATATGGTGAGCTTTCCACTCAACAATATTCATTAGAGTCGTCCTCTCTGCAAAAAAGATAATGAACCTATAAAAGAAACAATTTGATCGTAAAATACCTAAATAAAACCAAACTTACTTAAGTACTCATCAATTATCTTTTTTCAATCATCGCACCTTTCAATTTCCTCCATTTTGTGGGAACTCCTAATGGCTAATGTTTCCATGACCACAACGACTTTCCTCCCTATAACAGTCAAATAACCATGGTTAAAGTTATTTATTGCCACTGGGTCATCGGTCCAGTACAGAGGGAAGTGGTACTCTCCATATTCCCCAAATATTACCATAGAAGTACTCACCCTCGCGAACTTATCATTCTAGTTCTTGAAGTTATTCAAATAAGGGTTGAATATGACCCTTCCAAACAAAGCGCCTAAGG